ATTATATTTTTATTTTTAAAAATTTGGAAAGCCACTAACTCAATATTTATGGCAATAAACTTTTTTGAAAAGTGGTCAGGGTTTGGTAGATTGCCAAGTAAAGGTAGTTTTACCCTGTGCGCAATATGCATAAAAATTTAGTTTTCTATGGAACAATTTTAATTGTAAAAAAAAACACACACAAATATATATATATATATATATATATATATATATATATATATATATATATATATATATATATATATATATATATATATATATATATATATATATATATATGTATATATATATATATATATATATATATATATATATATATATATATATATATATATATATATACGGCAAAAAGGCTAAGGCCGGCACTGTATATATATATATATATATATATATATATATATATATATATATATATAAATATACTATAGTAGATATATATATATATGATATTGCATACTTAGGTAAGCACTATGAAATACGCTACAAATTTAGGGATAGACGAGGGCTTCAGTAAGTACATTGACTGATATATATATATATATATATATATATATATATATATATATATATATATATATATACATATATATATATATATATATATATATATATATATATATATATATATATATATATATATATATACATATATATATATATATATATATATATATATATATATATATATATATACATATATATATATACACATATATATATATATATATATATATATATATTTATATATATATATATACATATATATATATATATATATATATATATATATATATATATATATATATATATATATATATATATATATATATATATACATATATATATACAGTGCCGGCCTTAGCCTTTTTGCCGCCCTCATGCGAAAAACAAATCTTGCATTTTGTTCTGTTTTATAAAATTTAAAACAATAATAGGAGTAATTTTATCCTTGACCATTTCAGAAAGAAAAGGTTTAATGCTCATCAGTTCATCGCAAAGGAGAATACCATTAATGTCCGATTTTAGATTTACGGTAAGTTTACTTTGAAGAGCTAAACATGATTTTAGAATTTCTTCTCTTTTTTGCAAACTATCGACATTATACAAAAAACCCCAAACTTCGGAATAATTCTCCAACTGTATAAATCTTTCTCTCATTGAAATTAAAGATGTGTCTAAAAGAGGATTGAAGAAATCGATTTCTAATTTTTTTTCAGGAGAAAATAAATAAATCCCATCATGGGCTGGTTCGTCAAAATGGCGTTTTACTCGTATTATTCTTTTAAGTGGTTTAAAAACAGGCTCCACTTGTAATTCTATAGCCAAATCCTTTGCTTTTATAATTGCATCTTTAAAACCACATTTTCTATAGTTTTCTAAAAATGAACAACAGCTTTTCAATAACTTTGCACATTGAGTGATGCCTTTTTCTTGAAGAGTTTTACTAACAATATTGACTTGAAAAAGAACGTCATACCAGACAATTAAAGAGACAAGAAAGCTTAAATCTTTTAATTGCTCTCCTAGAGTTATCGCTTCATGTGCAGTTTCAGGATTACATCCTTCAATTTCTGACAATGCTATCAAAGCGTCATGTACATCACCAACTTGATAACGAACGGTTTAACACTACTTATTTTTGCTTCCCACCGCGTGTCACAGAGTTTCTTTAAATGCAAAATTTTAACATGATCAATTAAAATTTTCCATCGGCTCACTGAAGCTGAGAATAGAGTGAACAATCTCTGAAGAATACCGAAAAAAGCTATAAATTTTACTGAAGACCGTGCAGAGTCACTTATTACCAAATTTAAGCTATGGTTGCCGCAAGGAACATATAATGCTAAAGGATTAAGATTTAAAATCCTTTTTTGTACACCATTAATCTTTCCTTTAATATTTGATCCATTATCATACCCTTGACCTCTGCAGTTAGAGATTTCAAGTCCATGCTTAGTTAGCAACTCGATTAAAACCTCAGTAAGTCCTAAGCCTGTAGAATCAGAAACAGAAAAGAATCCTAAAAAGTACTCTTTAATTTCCACTCTAATGTCTAACGACAAGTCAACAATTCGAATAGTAAGAGAAAGTTGTTCTTTTCTAGAAATATCAGGTGTACAATCAGCAATGATTGAATAGTAAACGGCTTTCAAGACTCGGTTTATTATTTCATCATTAACCTTTTGAGACATTAAATCTATTAACTCATTTTGAATATTTTTCCCGCAATAATGGTCTGAAGTGTCACCTTTTATTGCAAGTGCTAAATGCTTTTGCATCACAGGATCAAATTTTGCAAGCGCCTGTATTAGTCCTAAGAATTTGCTGTTTTGAGGCGTAAACAGTTTATCCGAACTCCTTCGAAAAGCCATATTATTTTCAGCTAGGTAAAGAGTGATATTCATCAGCCGAAGAAGAACATTTTGCCATCGTTTTTTTCTATAATTTTAATTTCTTCATTATCTATAGTTTTTCCAGTTTTTAATCTTATTTCAGTTTCTACCCACTGTTGATAACATTTCATATGAGAGACGCTGTTTTCATGAATTCCCAATGTTTCAGTTAAATGTCTCCATTTCTTGAAACCATCAGAGACTAAGTTTGACTTTGAATTATTATCAAAAAGTAGACAGCAAAAACAAAATACGGAGTTTTTAGAATCTGAATAAACCAACCATCTACGGCAAAAGGTTTCTCCATTCGCAAGCTTTCTATTGTAATAAATGCTAGAAAAATGTTGGCTATTTCTATCTTCAGGGTATTTTTCCTTTGTAATTTGAAAAGGACCAAGTTTGATTAAATGGTCCACAAAGTTGCTAGATTGAACAATTGGCTAATTTCCACAATCCAATAAATTAGGTGTTTCTTGTAAAAAATCTTCTGATAAATCATTCGATTCTTTTAAAATAATTGGTTTATTATCTACTTCAATTTGCAATGAAGTTATACAACTATTTTTGAGTATTGTTGAAGGTTCTCCAATTTTATTGGACATAGTCGTAGAGATAGTTGAAGCATCAGGGTTAAAATCTTCACGACCTTCGTCAGGTTTTTTATAAGCAACATATTTTTCAATGCTCATGAATTTTTTAATTTTTTCAAATTTTTGATCTTTAACGGACTTTCTTTTTCTGTACTCATAACCAGACAACTTTTTTCTCGAATTTGAAATTTTATGTGACATGAGACAGAATCTTTTTTAAGATAAAATTATTTCTACAATTTAAAAAAAAAAAAATTTAACAAAGTTCTCAAAACACATTCATAAAATTATTAAAGAAATAAAAAAAAAGTAACTAAACTTGCTGAAAATTGTTTAAATCGAGTCAACTTAACACTTAATAACAAAAAATAAAAACTTTTGAACTTCTTTACAAAAAATTTTTTGCAACTTTTTGAAATGACTCCTAGAGGAAATAACGTACAAATGGTACTACAAATTACAATAGAAAATCGTGCGTTAATTAAGTAAATGTAGTAATTTTTTGTCTTCAAATTTAAAATCGTATTTTTTTTTTTGCAAAGGTCGTTAACTAATTTAATTTACTTTAAATTTTTAATAAACTACTAGAAAATTAAAACTTGTGACTTATAAAATTCTCCGCCCCTATTTACTTGCTGCCCTCGTGCTTCAGTTTCAATTCCTCACTTGTGACAGACCATTTATCCGTTCAACAACAACTCTAAAAAATCTTATGAAGGCAAATGCTTTGGATATTGAAACACAAAAATTATATGAAAATTTTTTAATCCTATCAAAAAAAGACAATATCCTAAAAAATACTCCCTATTCTTTTATTGATGCTGAAGCATCGGTTTCACCACGCAACACTGAGCAAACCGAAAATATCAAATACAACGAAGTGAAAAAACGGAGAATTACAAATGATGAAATTTACGGAGTCTAAGAGCTAGCCAATCAAGATTTATATGATTTCATCCATCACTTTGCTATTCATTGTGACTTGATGCTAATTATGGCTCATCCAAAAGCTTTGGAGCTCGCTAATAAACTGATAAAAGAAAGCAGTGCTAATCCGTCATTAAAACAAATGTTATCTTATGATACAACTTTTAATTTAGGGGACTTTTATGCTTCAATTTTAGTTCTTAAAAACACTAATTTTTTAAAAGAACCAATATTTCCGGTGATGTTTGTAATACACGATAGAAAGCATGAAATAACACACGATATGGTTTGGTCAAATTTTATATATCGTCTTTTGTTACTGGATAAATTTGGAAAGAACATTCCAATTTTAATAGATCGTGAAAAATCAATCGTAAATTCAATAATTCAATAATGAGAAAGTCAAATATTTTATCGAACATAATATTTTGCAGAAATCATGTTCTTCAAGACGTAAAAAGGTATATCAGCACAGTAAAAAGTTATAAAGACGATTACAAAGTGTACATAACAAATGTTGAGGAACTATGCGACAGTAACAATTTTGACCACGATTATGAAAGATTGAAACTGAAATGGTCAGCATTTTTTCTTAAATATTTCGACAAACATTTGAAAAATGACATTACAACTAATGACATTACAAAAAATGCATTACAACTAATCAATATATCACAGATTTTTAGCTTTCAATGATGTAAACCCAACAAATAATATTGCAGAACTTTTGAATAGAATGATTAAAGACCATCAAAAATATAAATAGCTTCCATTAGATTCTATGGTATTGTCGTTATATAAATTTCAAATTTATTTTCTTAACGAATTTAAACTACAAAAAACTCTTTAGAACAGTTTGAAACTTAATCTAAATCATAATTTTATATACTATATTTTGATATACTAAATTTTAAATGTTTTTTTTTAAATGAAGAAAACAATGAAAAAGATGACAAAGCTGCACTTTAATTTTTTTAATTGTTAACTATTTTCTTGTTCTTTAATTCTTTTTTGTACTTTTTTTTTTTGCTGCTGCTGGTCAAATTTAATCAAAGTTTTTTAGTTTCTTACACTAGGAAACTTTAAAATGGTTGATCAAAATCTCACCAAAAAGTTATTAGAAATAAGTGATTTAGAATTTACTCCATTAGATGATATCTTTAAAAGTATAAGTAAAAATCAAATAAAACCGATTCAGATTGGCGTTAGTAAATCATTCAGACAATCTGCTAACACGTTGGCATCAATAGTTTTAAAAAAAGATTTAGCTGCGTATGAACCGAAAAATGATTGTTATACAGTAAAAAGCGCAATTGGTGGCAAAAAAACATCTTGTAAACTATAACGGTAATACTAAAGGATACACTTGTACATGCCCTGCTAGAAAAAACTGTTATCATATAATATCAGTAAAATCATTACCAAACGCACCCCCAGATATATCAAAGCCAACATACCGCTTAAGCAAATTAAAAAAAAACAACAACCATGAAACTAGAAGTTGCAAAAAAAACCAAGACCAAAAGACAGAGAACTAAGCATTATAGCTGCTGACAATTCCTTAGAAGCATCTAAACATTTGCCTCCAAAACATTCAACACCAAACAAACCAAAGTTAAACACGGTCGAAAATACTTTTACTTTGTTGGCAACTTTAGATAAATCCAAAAACAATACAAGCATGGAAGTTTCTACCGAGAATTCGAGTAGCATAGATGATAAAAACAATAAAAGCCTAGAAGAAAAAACAGTTACAACTTTTATATCAGATTTTAGTAATTTGCCACAGCTGGTTCCCTCAGCTGAAGAGTTAAATGAACCGTCGCTGAATGAAAATGAACCTTTAACATCAAACGTAATTGATCAAGTATGTTTGTTATTCTTAAAATCGTTTGAGAAAGAAAATCAAATATTTTACTTAGATTATTTTAATTATCGATATTTAGTAAATGAATTCAATAACAAGAAGCCGTTAAGCTCGGTTTGAAACAGCCGTGCACGGCTGTTTTTGAAAGTTGTGCAATGTTTTCATGAAAACATTGCACAACTTTCAAAATTTATGCACCAACATGACGTATTTAACAAAGACTTTATTTTGGTGAATATAAATACAGATATAGAAAGAGGCAATCATTGGATATTAGGAGTGATTTCATTAAACAACAATTATATCTGCATTTTTGATTCACTACGGCTAAACCATAACAGACGAGAGCACTTTGTAGAATTAATGAAAATAACTCAAATTTCATCAACCCTTGCTCAATCAAAATTAGACATGAGTAAATTTAAATTCTATTACAGTTTAGATTGTGAACAACAAAATAATAGTTTTGATTGCGGTGTTTATGTTATATTGTGGGCTTATCAAATAATAAAAGGTCAAAAAGAACATGTGCCTATAGCAGAGGCAAGAAAGTTTATAAGGTATATCTTCAGTCTTGGAGAGATCTCAATTACGTTTGATCGAAAAAAAGTACTAGAGAAGCAAATATTATTGTAAAAACTCAAAACAAGTTAAAAATAAGCATTTGTATAACCATGAGTATAGGTATATTTGACATGGTGATGTCAAATAAACACCAACAAAACAAAAATTGGACAATATGTGCTAAATATTCATGCAAAGGAGACAATAATCATTCGCTCCAACATTTATTATGTGTACTATGCAGAAAATGGTATTGCGATAGCGGCGAAAAAAACAGTAGCAAAACTTACTTTAAATGTTCATTGAGTTTAAAGACGTAATATACATAAAAACTAACTATGACGCAAATAGAAATTCTAAGTTATAGTTGTTTCTTATATAAAAAACATTCTTACATTAAAAACAAACTTATTATAAAAACAGTTTTGTTACGATTATTATACTTATTTAAATTTTTGTTAAATTGTTTTATTGATTTTTGTTAGGGTTTTCGTTTAACAACTACGCAGGCATTCTGCGTTATGGCGCTTATCTTAGAAAAAATTTGAATCAGTGTACTCAGCGGGTTTTTTGTCATTGTCGTAAAAAAGATTTTATTGCATTTTATTCGGGTTTTTGCTTGATAGCTTTGCACTTTAATTTCGAATTTAAAATCAATTTAACACATTCATACAAAAGTTATAAAAACCTGTTTGAAAAACTTAAGAAACAAGAAAAAAGAAAACTATTATTCAAATCTTTTACAAAATAAGATTAGTAATAATAAAAAAACTTGGATGTTATAAAAGCTACTGATACTGATAACAAAAACATTGTTATTAATGAAAAGATTCCTGAAAGCTTTAACAATTGTTTTACAAACATCAGAAATACACTAGCTAATAAAATAACTCAAAGTAAAAAAATATTTAAGATCATATTTAAAAGAATTTGACTTATCTTCTGATGAGCTTCGAAACGCATTTAAAGCAATACAATCAAAAAAAGTCCGGTTCTTGATGACGTAAGCTCTCAGGTGGTTAAAGAAATTTATGATGTTATTGAATATCCCCTATTGTACATCTTTAATCTCTCATTAAAAAATGGTTTTTTCTGAACACTTAAAATTAGCACGCGTAGTTAACTCTACTTTATCAAACTACAGGCCTATCTCCATACTTTCATGTACTAGAGAGCATAATGTACAGTAGACTTTTTTTGTACCTCCAAAATTACAATATCCTTTTCAATAACCAATACGGATTTAAAAAAGACCATTCAACTGAACATGCAGTAATAAAGTTAATTAACGAAATTTTGAATGAGTTTGACAAAAATCAATATACACTTGGAGTATTTATCGATTTCTCAAAGGCCTTCGATACAGTGGCTCACGAAATCCTTCTATACAAACTTAGTAATTATGGTATAAAAATAAAAATCTAAAATGGTTTAGTTGCAATCTCAACAATTAAGAAATAAGCTTTATATTACAATAACACCTACACTTCCATTGAAACCATTACTTGTGGGGTTCCCCAGGGATCTATTCTTAATTTTGCTGATGACACCCAAGCTTTGTACATCCACTAAAATATTAAAACTATTTTTAACACAGTAAATTAGAAGCTTGAAGAGCTAAGCGATGTTTGTTCATAGCTACATTAGCTACTGCAATGTTGCCTGGGCAAGTACTTACCAATCAAAACTAGCCTTAGTCTATAAAAAACAAAAGCAAGCATGCCGCATATTCACAAATGGATATGGTAGTGCTAAACAAATAATGAAAGAACTGAGAGTTCTTAATATTTATGAACAAAACATCTATAGCATCCTTCAGTTTATGTTTAAATTAAAAAATAATTCGGTCCTTAAAATATTTCATAATTACTTCCAACTTATTGATCATAAATACGAAACAAAATATTCTAAGCAGTACTACTATATTTTAAAAATGTATTTGTGACAATCAAAATTCTCAATATCTAGAATAGTACCGCAATTGTGGAACTCATTTCTCACAAATGACATAAAAACGATTAACTCTTTTTAACATTTTAAATGCGTTATTAAACAACAGTTACTTGACCTAAACATTATTGAATAAATCTCTTATTTTTAAAAAAACTCTTACACTTCTTGAAATTTTTTATTTATTTCCACAATAGCTCAAAATGCTTATGGTTATAGTTATAAAAATGCATATAGTTGTATTTATATAAATAAAGATATATTTATTTGGCTATTTTAATCAAAAGAGTTTTTATATTTATATATATTTAAATATCTTATAACTTGTGTTTATCTTATATTTAATTGATATTTAATGTAAAATAAATTAAAATTAACGGGTAAAGATAAAAATATCGTCTTCTGCTTGTTCCAGTCAATTTGTTACGTTAACAATTTTGTAAAAAAAAATTTATATTGACGAAAAAGATTATATATTTAACATTCTGCAGGTGTGAAAATGCATTGTTGCTGTTGTAAAAACGGTTTTTATGCATTTTGATCGGGTTTTTTTTAAATAACTCAGCAGGTATTAGTCGGGCGACATTCCGCGTGTCTTCATTTGACTCAGAATTCAATTCTACATAAGAAACAGTCTATCTGCAAAGATATAGAACGTTTACTTGTTTCTTTTCGATATAAATGCTGGGAAAACCCAACATTACTTTACGCCTTTTAGATTATAACTGATATCTTAACTGGATTTAATGCAGTAGTCGTAAAACAAACTTTTTCTAATAGAAAATTTAATTTCGAATCGATTTAGCACACTCCGCGGGTGTGAAAATGCATTGTTTTTGTTGTAAAAACGGTTTTTTATGCATTTTGATCAGTTTTTGTTTAATAACTCAGCAGGTATTGGTCGGGCGACATTCCGCGTCTTGCCATTCGACTCAGAATTCAATTCTACATAAGAAAAAGTCTATCCGCGGGTGCGATATTCAATTTTAAAAAATCTTTGCAATTTAGAGACTACCATTAATAAATGTTTAAATAATCGCTATTATTGAAAACATTAAAAAAATTTTATAACAATCTTCAAATATTTAAAAAAACACAATCTAAAATTTATGCACCAGAAAAACGCAGATAGTCCAGAAATGTATCTGGAAAATATGCAGATAGTCCAAGTTTGTTTTACGCGGAGATCGCAGATAAACCAATTTTGTTTGTCTGATTTTGCGCGGAGCCATCGATGGGTACAAACATTATTGAATACATATTTTCTGAAAAAAAATTCAATAAAATTATTTGTTTCAAAAAACGTTTAACAAAGAATTAATTTTATATAATTTTTTTTCAATTGCATTTTTCTCGAAATGCGTAGTAAGCATATTAAGGCGCTTTGAAAAACAGCTGCAGCATATATTTATATTAAAAAAATAAATGTAGCAAAAAAAGCTTTTCATTATCAAAAGAAAGTTTTAAATTTTTTTCTAGGTACTTTACATTTTTTTTTTTGCCTCTTCAGCAGCACCTTCTTGAGTAGCAGGACTTCCTTATTTATTTAATATAGCTTTTTCTTAATTAAGTTTCAGACAAATTTTTTTTCAGCCCATCCGCAGCTTATTAGGACTAATTACCTGAGCACATTAATAACATAAGTATTCAATCATCATACATACGCAACAACTTTTTTCTCCCGGTAATGTTTCTTTTTTAGCTTTCTTAAAATCTTTTCTTTTGTGAAAGTGTATAATATCGTTACGTTACATATGTTTGTATGTAATCTTTATAAAACTTCAAAGTTATTTTGTATTTTAAATTAATCGAAAAAAATTTAAAAAAAATAGCTGACATCGGACCTCATATTTCTTGTTCAGAACTTCGATGCTTTATCCACTCTAGCTACACGGGCGTACCATCGATGTAAATTTTTTAAAATAATGTAATAATTTTTTTGAGGGAAAAAATGTTATAGGTCAAAAGTAAGGAGAGCTTAACGCAATGTTAGATATTCGTTCACGTTTTCTTATAGTGCTGCGACTCTTTCTTGCCAATACCTCGGTTGCAATGGCTGCCAAGGGTTTCGTGTCAAATACGCTCCATGGAATATTACTACTAATATTAAAACTAATAAGTTCGGCAATATTATATAGAAGATTAGATAATATTTGTTGAAAATAAATGATATTTGAAAATTGACCACTTTAATTTATTGTAGTTGTTAAATAAATGTTATTAATTTTATCGTAGTTATTAAATATTTATTACATGTAGTAATAAATACTCTAATAGGAGTTTTCATTCAACTAGATTATAAATCATTAAAAGCCCTAACTAAAATTTTATTCAATTAATAAAAATTTTAGTTAGGGTTTTGAGATTATAGATAATTAAGCTGTAAATTGGTGCTACAAAACTTTCAGTCTGAAAGGAAAAATTAATATTCCTAATATTAAGTTCACTAAATTTATGTTTATTAAAAGGTTATGTTTATTAAAAGATAATAAAAGTCAAGTTGTTTTATGTTTAATAAATATATATAACTTGGAAAATTAAATTCATTTTTAGAAATTAATTTCTAAATTTAACATTCCTTTAAAATAGTGCTTTTAATAGCTGTACAGTCCAACAACAACAAAAGTCTATTTTCATAGATTTTAAATGTATCTATAGTCCCTAAAAATATTGTTTATATTTAAACTCATTTTTATTCAAGTTTGAATTTATTTTTACCAATAATTATTTATTATTTTTTATTTTTACCAATAATTATTTATTATTTTTTATTTTTACCAATTATTATTTATTATTTTTTATTTTTACCAATTATTTTCTTTTAAAGTTCTACTTCTACTTTCATAATATGAAAAGAAAATTTCAAAAAAGAAAAAATGGATGCAGTTGTCTCGTTGCCTTTAAACTTAGTTTAAAAATCTCAAAACCCCAATAATAACTTTTTAATTATTGAAAGGCCAAAATTTTGACCAATTATAACAAAGGAACTATAAATATTTTATAAAAAAAAAAATTACAGGCTTCTTTTTTACCCTATTAGCATTTCTGTATATAAAATTGAGCACGATTAAAGAATATCACTTTAAAGCCAATACTTTTGCCTGGTTTTATCAGAAAATGGCTCTTAATGAATCTTAGTTCTTGTTATTGTGTTTATGTATAAGGCAAATATTTTGTATTATTAATTAGTACAATACGTATATATAAGAATGCATTTAGCAAATATTTTGTTTAATTAAGTTTATACTATGACAACAGTAAGTCACTGTCAGTTTTAAACCGTCAGTTCAGCAGTCCATAATCAGTATTTACCTTGAATTCAAGTAAAAATATTGTATAAGTAATGCTTATATATTTTAAAAATTGTTTTGAATTCAAAATTTTCTTATTGTATTTCACTTTATTACATTCTATGATAACAGTTGAACAAAGGTCATTCTCCTTGTTTTAGCCATAAAATTTGCATTTTAAAATCTGAAACTTTCATTTAAAAGTTTTAAAAATTAATAATTATAAAAATTTTGCAACAACAAAAAAAGTAACCGAAGTATTTTATGGAAACGGCGATTCAAACAAAGCACAGCAATTGTGAATTTCC